TAGAGGGTGAGCCAGAATCCCCCATTCATCTCGGGGTGACCTGGGTTTGGGGAATGGACCTGGAACAGCAGGCACCTCAAATCCAGGGACAGTGAGAATTCTCACGGTGCCATCAACGCCTCGGTAATCATAGTTCCCTGGACGAGCGCCAGAGGCAAGGGTTCCAGACAGAGGCTGGAGGTCAGCTATGTCCACCTCCATCTCCCCTTCCCCGCCCTGCCCAGCCTCACCTCCACCCTCAGCAGGAATTCCCACCAAGTCCTCATAACACAGGGACAGACGCACCTCATCCCAACCCCGGAGTGAGATCCGATGCTTTCCAGGCCTGGTCTCTTCCTTTTCTCAGACGAGGCCCATCTCCTTCAGGATGTCCCCTTAGCTTTGTCCTGCTTCTGTGGCCCTAATGGTAATAGTAACACTTACTGATGGAGTAACTCTTGGGGTCAGTTTACCAAGCCCCTGCGATGTGCCAGGCTCTGGGCTGTGCTATGCTGGCCCCAGCACAGCAACCCAAATCGGAGAGTTAAAGTTCCCAGTTCTCAGGGCCGGCTGAGTGGCTCAGTTGGTTAAGAGCGCAAGCTCTGAGCAACAGAGTCACTGGTTCGATTCCCACATGGGTCAGTGAGCTGCGCCCGAGCTGAGCTGCCGCTGAGCTGCAAACAGGTGGCAGGATGGCTCAGCTGCTGAGAGAACGTGCTCCTAACAACAAGGTTTCCGGTTCGACTCCCACATGGGATGGTGGGCTGCGACCCTCGCAACTAAGATTGAGCTGAGTGGCCACGAGCTGCCGATGGGCGGCCGTATGGCGATTGGACTTGGAGCTGAGCTAGCTGCGCCCTCCACAACTAAGACTGAAGGACAACAACTTGGCTGCTGTTCCCCTTCCCCAATTCCCCAACACTGTTCCTCTTCCCCAATTCCCCAATAAAATCTTAAAAATAAATAAATAAAAAGTTCCCAGTTCTGAGTTAGATGACACACTCGTAGCATGTAGCACATGATAACTGCGGGATAAATTTAGCAGCTCCATCCCAAATGTAATTTATATGTGCTAATGCCACGTAATTACATGTGACAGGTTAACAGTGTCAGTTTAGAGTGTTAGTCAAATTCGCACTGCTGAAGAGTCCCAATGGCAGACTTTAGTCCACAGGTGAGCCCCGGAGCTCTGATCACAGCAAGGTGCAGTTAGAAAAAAGCCCAAGGTTGTCCCAGGAGGCCATCATCTGCTTCCTGGCCTCTGTCTAGCTGTCTCAGAGCGTTTGAGATGCCCCAGTCCTCTGGCCTGGAATAGGCAACATGGACGGCTCAGAAGGGAAACCCCAACTTAGGTGTCCAGGGGAGTCTAGTGGAAATAGCACCAGGTTCCAGGAAGAGGGCCGCCAGGTACATGTGACGGTGGCAAAAAGACAGGCCCATATTGCCTTTGAGATCCTGGACCTGCGTACGGCAAGCACAGAGCACATTACACCTTAGATCCTCGGGGCTGCACAGGCCACTTGGCTGTGGAGCAGACCTTCACCAACTCCTGAAGCTCCTTAGATGCAGAGACGAGGGAACCCCGTTCCTCCACTCCCTCCCCAGTGCCTTACAAGGGGGGAAGACCCCTCCGGATGCCTACCTGCCCCTGGGCTTCTGCAGAGCAGCAGTCAGAGTGTGGGCGTGCGGGGTCCCCCAGCTGGTCCAGCCCAAAGAACTTCCCTTTTGCTCTTCCCCGAGAAACTCCTCGGGTACCCTGAACCAACACCGTTGCTGCACAGGAAGTGGTGTCGGCCCTTCTCAAGGAGGGTGAGGTGTTGTGAACCGAGCAGGGCCTTCCTTCTTCTCCACTTTGAGGTCTGGATGGGTGGCCATAAGGGGAACTAATTTAATGAGAAAGCCAGCTGCCAGCTCAGAAATCTGTCCGCTGGCACGTCCGTCCCTCAAGCCGTGTGGGTAGATGGAGTGTCACCAGCCCCCAGGTCTTAGATTCCTTCCTGTCTAACAGTGACAGGACGCTCTGCTCTGCACGTTCTGCACAGCACTGAGCGCCTCTTCGCCCCACCTGTCACACTCGCCACCTGCTTGCATCCCGGCCGCCCTTGGCCACCGGCCTCATCAGGGGCATTTGGGAGTTGCTGAGGTCCCCTCTGCTCCACCCACAGCCACAGCACCCAATCCAGTCCTCACACCTGAGCCATCCCTTGTTTCCTGGGAGGAAGGGGTGAGCGGAGGAGAGCCCGCAGGCTCAACATAGACAGAAGGATCTCGGTCTTAAAAACTATTGAGGGGAGAAAAAAAAAAACTATTGAGGAGACCAAAGAACGTTCGTCGATGTGGGTTGTACCTCTCTATACCCACTGTACTAGAAACTAACTCAGAAATTTTAAAAACGTTTACTGATCAAATCCTTTGAAATGACCATGAGCCCATTCCGTGGAAACATAAGTAACATTTTTATGAAAAAGAACTCTATTGTCTTTTAAAAAGGCATTGAGTGAGAAGAGCGAGGTGGTTTTGCATGTTTGCGAATCCCTTTAATGCCTGACCGTCGTCGCCGCAGGAGACAGCTGGACTCGCACACCAGCGTCTGCATTCCATCGGTGGCTTCATCCCGCATCAGGAAGCTTCTGGAAACCCCAGGGAGTGGGGCAGGTTGATAACGTGCGAGTATTATATGAAGGTAATTTTCACCTCTCTCACCCTGGAAGGGTCCTAGGGGCCACATCCTGAGAAGCACTTCTCAGGGGGCAATCCCACAGGGAAGTGAGGGTTAAGGGGCTGGGGGTACCCCCCTCTCCCCCAGTTCCCTGGATTGGCTTTCTAAATTGATGATACTCAACAATTAACCCTTCAGTGGAGCTGGGCCAGGGGAGGGATCGCAGCTGTCAGGGCTCCGCTACTCCCTATCCTTAGGCAGCTCACAGGGTCGGACCATCTCCCCCGCGATGCCTCCTGCCCGCACTAGGGGGCGCTCGAGTCAACACAATCCTA